TATGCTCTAACTTATCAATATAATAATTGCTATCTAATATTAAACATCGTTAAATGTCTAAATGTCATATGTATGTATAAGTATGGCTTTTAAGTATAGCTGTTACCAAACTATTTAACTATATCAATTTCTTCGTTGTGTTGAATTTATTATTTCCATATATATAAATGCTAGTTAAAATTCATATTTTGAATGACTTTTTTTTTCCTATGCTCTGGCCCGCTAGATTTAAATTTTATAAAAATTGACTCTCTAGTAACTTCGAGTTGCCCATCCTTGGTTTAGGAGATAGCATATGTAAAATTTGATCTGATCATTTTGGTGTTCCTTAACTTAATTTTATTTAGTTACACCATCGTCGTCGTTGCGAATAATCAAGTATTTCGAAATTTATTTCAAATACATACCCGGTGGGTTAACGAGATCAAATAATGATTTTTTAAGAGTAGAAAATTCGAAGCTTTATTTCATGGTGTTCATGAAAACTTTGCTTTTTACTGTCATCGATTTTCATACATTTAAGTTGCATTTTGATGATCCGAATGCAAACGATTGCTACCGAAAGAATTTCTGCATAGATTCGTTAAAATTTCGGCTGCATCATGCAGATTATTTGTTCGTTTTGTCTTATAAATATTCTTAATAATGGATTTCTTTGAGCGTACAACTCTAGGAGCGAACTTTGCCCAACGCAAACGAATTAATTTGTTCCCAATCGTTCCAACCGTTTACACTGGTTTATTGTTACTCAAGGTAGCATTTGCTCTCGTTCATTCGTGTCTGGACCACTGTCTAAACACAACTTTAAATAATGTCAATGATGATAAATTGTATTTATAAGAATACCAAAACTTGATTGTTTTTATAATTATTTAATTAAATAAATTAGTGGAACTAAGCGATAACGAACAAGTTCATGTTGATCGATCACTGTGTACTATTGTTAAATTGTATATCTAAACTTATACATTTTAAATTATTAGTGTTACGCTTGATGAAAAAAATTATTTTTTTCTTTATTGAAATTGTGAGTTTAAGATGTATTTCAAATTGTTATTATTTATAAGCCATAAACTTTACTTCGTGACTCACAGAAGTTATTAAGTTATCAAAATTGAATGTCAGTTACTTTTAGATACATGACTAGTATAGATGTAATTGAATGTTATTATTTTTTTGAAGTTTTTCAAAAATCACCTTACAACAAAATTGCTTACGATAATGTTGTTGTTGTTTTATAGTTTGACATATTCTTGAAAGAATTATAACTATTATAAGTACAACAAAAGTACTTTAAACTTTAGAATATTTTGCACAGACATTTTCAAAGTTAATGCTATTTAATTAACCCAGACAAGGTCACTGTCTGAAGAGTTAGCACACACCATATTTTGGCACTTTTGATTATTTATAATAGGACATTTTTGGCTACAGACAAGTTCTTTATTTACTTAAAATATATAGGTAGGTTAAATTTATTTTTATAAAATATATTTATTTAAGCATTTGTTGACATTCTTCTAATTATATTCAAATATAAGATATATTTATTTTCAAGTCCGTATTACATTCTTACAATTTTAAACAACGTATGTGCTTGATTACTGAAAATATCATTAAATTGTTTTCACTCGTATTACATTCCTAGCTGTAATATAAATTAGAATTTGAGCTTAGAATTTACCTATTTCATTTAAATATGATTCTTCAGTTTCTTTATTATTATATTATATGTATTTCATATATTACTAAAAAGCATATTTATAACTTAAAAAAATAATGAAAAATGTCCGATATTTTTTAAATAATTTATCATGTCTATGTAAGTTTATTATTTATTTATTTTTAACTGCAGTAAATATAAGTATAGCTAATGATTGTTTGATGCATTTTAAATTATTTTATTGAATATCAAGGTTTGGTAGGTTATAGAAATTATTACTTATTTATTACATAATGTTATACAGATAAAGAAATGTATTAATATTAATTGTAATTAGTTATACACTACTTGTAAAAACCAGTTTCAAATCTATGATATATTTTTGATTAATTTTTGCAATACATAGTATGCTATGGTATTTATTTTTATTTCATGTACATTTAAGTTATATAACCTATGGTTTTTTTTTTATTATTAGTTATTAATTTAAACTATTTAGTTCAACATTTAAAAGGAGTAAAAACAATAATTATTCGATTAAATATCAGAATTTTAATAGGTAAAAAATTAGAAAAAGAAAAAAATGAATAATAATATTAATATTAATAATAATGATAATAATATTGACATCTATGGCTTTATTATATATTTTGACAATACATAAAAAAATAAATAACAATATTAAAGAATGTATCATGGTTTGAAAAGATAATTATACTTGGGTTTTATTTAGTAATACTATAAGAAAGGGAAGGAGAGGCTTAACAATATTTTTAAATTTGGAGATGAAGGAAGTTAAGAATGTTTTAATGTTAGAAAAAAAATGAGTATAATTTTTAAGAGAGGAAGTAACATGAACAAAATATGGATTGGTAAAGATGATAAGTGGACCTAAATGGGGGCATTGGATGCATGTGCCACCCCTGTTGGAAAAAATTTTTATTAAAAGTGAAGTTTATTTAGAAAAACTTAATAATAGATTATAAAAATAAATATTTATACTTTAAGTACAATATTTACAATATTGACACATTTTTTTGGGGGTGGAGGAGATTAATACCCCAAAACATAACTACATAAGCCTATGATCAGTTATGTTTTATAATATCTCCTAAAAGTGCTCCGGACATAAATAGATATTGGATCCACCCTTAGTGGAGGGAACAATAAAAGTAGGCTAAAAATAATTATTTTAATTGAAGAAATAGGAGTGAAAAGAATTTGCTTTATCGGACGGATATAACTTTATATTTTTTATATTTTTGATAACCTTTATATGTAGAAAGACAGTTGGCATCATATAATACACATTTGGTAGGATAGCCACGTGGTTTGGCGTAGGAATCTGAGGCGTGGTTTTTCCTACATCTAATGCAACGTGGATTGTGGTGGTAGTATTTTCAGGTTTGCCATAGAACTGACATGTGGGGCACTGTGGTGGGTCTTTGCGCAAATGTGATTTTTAAAAAACTATTTTAGTGTTAAGAAAAAGTGTAACCTTGTATATGTCCAAACTGTTGGTAGCTTTTTTAATATCGACAAAAAAAGATGAATTACCCGAAAATCGTTTAATGGTCTATACGTAGGCGACATAGTATCCCAAATCTGAGATGGTGGAAATCATGCCATTTTAATAATTTCACATTATGTGATATGGTTGGGTGGAGATTTCAAATAGTAACCCGTAACAAGCGAATAATATTTGACTAATGGGTATGAAAATTTGTATCGATTTTTATTAAATGAGATTGTTTTTTTCAACCTATATTAGGTTGGTTTATAATGTTTTTAACTTCTTTCTCCATTTGTTACGATCTTCAACAAGTCTTTTTAATCCGACGTAAGAATCAATCCCTGCAACCTATTTTAATTGAGATATGTACGAGTTTCTTGGCCTTCCTGGTGGTTTTCATCTTTCATTTGCACCTTCTATTATAATATGATGCAATCCTTCGTCATGGCGTAAAACATATCCCATCATGTCCCATCGTTGTTGCTTTATGACCTAAATTATGGATCTTGCTTCTCCAACTTGGACCAGTACATCCTCATTCGTTACTCTCTCTTTCCAGTTAATTTTTTCCATACATCTCCAGTACCACATCTCGAATGCCTCCGAATCCTAACCCATGTCTCACAACCATATAAAGCGACACTTTACACAAACATTTTTAAAAATGTCTTCTTTATTTTTCTGCTAATTTTTTTCGGAATCAAAATTCTTTTTTTCTTGATAAAAACTGTCTTCGCTTGTCCGATTCTTTGTTTAATACCCTGTGAACTTCTTCCATCCGATGTTATTAAACTTTCTAAGTATTTAAAACTAGAAACTTAGGCTATAAGTTAATTCTCTAAGTAAATATTTGTGTTAATAGTGGGTTTGATATTTGATTATAATTATTTGCATTTCTGCCAGGGCTCTAAATGAGATATAAAAGATATAATGCTCGCGGAAATGCATGCGGATGAGAACATTTGAAGGTATTGATTTACAGACAAAATCTGTAACGTTTAGTATGGGCATCAAATTTGAGATAACAACGGCGATATTACTCACATTTTTTATTTAGAGTGTTGGTGATTTTAATATACGTAATATCGGTATTAAAGTTTAACTTCGTTAGAAAGTGTATTTTTGTCAGCTTAATTATGCTTAAGGAGTATAGAGAACTGATTTGAACTTATGAATAGTTTGATTTTCGTGTCCTTTACCTTTGATGAAAGAGAAGATATAGAGATTTCTGTAGTTAGATCTGGATTATTCGTTCGGTGGCGAGGTTACCTCAAAATTGTTATTAATGGTAGCATTTTCGTTTTTATTTGAGTCAACATAATTACGTAAGTAATATGAACTACAGCCATACTATAAGTTATAAAAGTAAATTACGATTAGTTACGAGAGTAACGATCAAACTGTTGTCGAAATAAACGTGCGCATTTGACGGCAATCGAAATGAAATTGACAAAATGTTCATCATTTAAACTCGTTTTACAACACTTCTAAAATATTTTAAGTTTTAAATTAATTTTTTAATACGTATTTAAATTTTTTTTTATATTTACTATAGTTATAAATAAATTTATGTTCTTATTTGAGAATAATTTTTATTACCAATAACATTTTAATTTGTTAAAATAATTTTATTAATAACACTCAAGACCAAATTTATGATTTTGAAAAATATGTGATAATTTTTAAAACAATATGTCGAATAATTTTTATCCTAATTGCAATTATAAGTATTTTAAGTATTTTATAATTGTATTTATTATTTTAATTTTTTTAGTGCGTATATAAATATTTAAATTAGTTTTTAATTACTGTTCTATTTTTCAGGCGACTTGAACACCGAATTTAAATGTTTATTCACACGAAAAATTTAATTCGGTAGAACTGGCACTGTGTACCCAATCGCCTCCAGTGATAACATCATTTCTTTTTCACATGGAGAATATCAGCTGAAAAATACAAGGTCAGTAAAAGTTGATTTAATCTTATTATCAAAAACTATAAGAAAAAAGAATAATTTTGTTAATTATCAAATATATCTATATGTGGTATACTCGTATTTTATACAATAATGTGTACCTATTGAAATTCGTTTAGGTCATTGAAAAAAAATATTTTGAATTTATTTTTATCAATAAGAACATTATATTTTTTGGGCATATTTTCAAATTAGATCGAAGTATTCTTTTAAAACACATGATAAGACAAATTAATCTTTATGAAATATAGAAATAAAATAATTTTCAAAGCCTGAAATATGATAAATATTTGGATAAAAACGTTTTAAATTATTTGTTATACCATAATAAATTCAAAATAGTCAAACTAATTTCTTATAATTTCACACAATTAAAAATAGTTAAGATTTATAATATTTATGTTTATATAACTCAGCTGGAAATTAAAATAAATTTTATAATTTGATAATATTTTAATTAAATATTAAAAATATTTTTTTTTAAATATAAAGCTATTATAATACTAAAATTTGAAATATACTTAAATGTATTTTTGTCGTTACAAATGGCATATAACATTTACTTGGAGTATATTGTTATTTATACCGGAAACATTTATTAAGAAAATAAAATACTAAAAATTTCATTGTTTGTAGTATTATTTACCATAAATATAATCTATTTGATTTATTGTATTTAATTCAGTGACGAATCGTTATTGTTTTACGTTTAAATTATGTATTTATGAATTAATTATATACAAAATTATTTACCATGTACTTGAATATAATAGGGTTTATAATTATAATTTCACTTAATAGTATCATTATTAACCAATATCATGTGTATAATTCTAGAAGTATATAAATCTTATTTTAAGTTAATTGACTCGGTATACCTTTTCATTTAAATTTTTTGGTGAAAACACCCAATTTTAAGTTGTAACTATATAAATCCTTATTAAATCATTATAACAACAGGTATATTTTGTAATAAATTACATATTTTTTAAAGTAAGATTTGAAAATATTATAGGTTTTTTTGATGTTCTAAATAACCTATAAACAGCTATTTGTTTGTAATGAGTTGTTTAAAAAAATGCAATATATATATATGAAGTATGATTATTTATGACTTATTTATTTAAAATGGTACGATAATGGAATTTATATTAACTCAGAACGACCAGTTTAAATTAGTAAATACTCGTGGGGCACTGTTTATATACATATAATATACACTTATATTTTCTATCTTGTGAAATATACAATGTACATGTCAATTGTGTTCATATTTTAAGTATTCAATTATTTTTAAATAAAATATGTGAAAATGTACCCGCATTTCGTTCATTACCTATACTACAATAACTTATAATTTGTGGAATTTTAGAGGTAATAAAAGTAATTTTTATCTCATTTTATTATTTGACAGCTTAATTTATTAAATATGTATTTAAATTAAGCATTATTAAAATATAACATTAAAGAATTTCATGATAACATAAAAATTATTACTTGACATTTTTTTTACTAAGAGCAATTACGAGAAAAAATATTTCTTTTTTTTTTTGTATTCTGAGTTACAATAATCCTCTTAAAAATTATAAATTTAAAATACATATTTATTATTTCTGCAGAAGTTGTAATACATAATAAAAATAATATAAAGTATATTAAAAACATTTACATTTTCAATACAATTAAATATGAACTGAACTCTGGGCAATGTAGTAATATTTTCTTTTTTTCTTATGCTACAAATATAATAGTTACCAGCTATTCTTTTGTTAAAATATTAATAAAAATCATAAACACACTTGATTTTTTTCAAATATAAGGGTTAAATTAAAATTTTTTTTTAAATTGTTTATACTAAAAATAATATCCGTAATCTGAGAAACAAAATGTATCAAATCTAAATGACTTTTAATAGTTTATACTTAAAATGATCATGAAATAAATTAAATAGATTGAAAAAAATCGCTTATCGTTTTACATTTTTTGAAATACTAAATTAAATTTAGTAGATTTAGTAGAAAATAGTTTGATTTCGCTAGTGTATTTTGATTAGGTATTTTATAGGTATGTTTAAAAATAAACAGTGGATCTTTTTCTTCGTTGATAATATAGAATTTTAGTTAATATAAGAATTGTACACATAAAATAAAAATGTTTGTGTTCATTTTCTTCTATATATAGTTTTAAACCAGTAATTATTTAAATTTTATTTTTTTATTTAACTGAATAATCGTTTTACTAGGAAGGCAAAAAAAAATGTGTTTTACTGTGGTTAACACATATAATTATAATTATATATTTATTAGACAATTGATACGAATATTAGAGTAATTTATTAATTTAATTACAATTTTTTTATTCCTGTAAGTTCTTCTCCTTCCTGTTTTATGTTTCAAAAAATACCTTATCAGATAGCATAATTTGATAAAAGTTACCGAATGTTTTCGTGAACCATTATATTAATTGTAAACTGAATTTTTTACAAAATTTCATTCATTTCATTTGTTTTTGTTTTATTTAGGTTATTGTTTATAAGAACAAATATTTTAGTTATGGCATTTAAATTAAAAACTCAATTTTCACTTTATAAAAATAAATAGAAGTTATATAATAAATGATTATTCGTATAATTAATTAATAAAATAAAATATATTTACTAATATTTATAATTATATTTATAAAAATTGGACTTTTTTAATTCAGTATTATATAACCAAGCTAGTAAAATATATAAAAATAATTTAAAAAAATGTTTTTCAAGTATACACTTATACATTTTAACTTATAATTTAATTAATACTGTTTATTGTTGTCAAACATTAAAAAAAAAAAAAAACACTTGAAATAATTAACTTTAAATAAAAATGTATAAATTAAATAAAAATTAAAAACTTTATAAATTTCAAATAGTTTGAAGAATTAATATTAATTATTACGTTTTTCGAAAAAAAAAAAATGTTAACTTTACTACTAAATTAATTTTTATCTATTTATCTATTAGATCTTAATAAATATTCAATTTTCGTTCAATAATTCGTTCCTTTAGACAAAATCTACATTTATACTGTAAAAATAAATAGCATATAAATATTTATTCAAAGAAATTACCATATATATGTTACCCATCAATATTTCACATTTTATATTCTGATATTAAATTTAGAAATTAAATTAAATTCAAAATATTTATGTATACATTTTCATAATTTAATTAGATCAAACAATACTTTATATTGTTTTTAGTTATAATTTCATTTACCAAAACTACATTCGGTATTATAACATTACATCGTTTATTACTATACATGAAATTAAATTATACATATTCGTTTTAAAATAATTCAAACATATAAACACCAAATAAATTGCTGTACTTTAAACATAACAAATATTATTTATATTGGGCACTTTTCATGTTTTCCCGAATTAGTGAAATCATTAATATTATACAAAATTTACTGTACCCTCGAGCTTTAGTTCCGACATCTTGTTTTCAATATGATAATATAAATGAGAAAAATCATTATTAGTAACTATAGTTAGTTATACCCTGAAATTGGGTTGACAAATAATGTATCCAGTATGTTTATAATGGTGTTATGTGTTAATGAATATCTGGTTTAATTTTAATTAAACTATAAATGTTTCTTGTCTTTTCAATCTTGATAGGGATGTGGAATTTTAATTAGAATGCATTTTCAATTAAACATAAATTTTAACTGATATCAAGGCTCAAGAGTAGTTGAACATTAAATGTTTGCTTTGTATCTATACTGTATTTTTAAATAACATGGCTTTTGAATTATTATAAGAGTATAATGCACAGGTATGACGTAACACAGAGTTTTCCATAAAAGTATACAATTCTTACATAATTAATGCCTATGAGAATACAAAATATATAATGCCGTCCACATTCCTATAATTTATTTCCTAAGAAATTATAAAACTGTATAGTTATATATTCCTATTTAATTTGCAGTAATAATATTATCACCATTCAACCAGATTTAAATAAAATTCAATTAGTTCCTGATTTGTATGGCATTACATTTACAATAAGACAAAAATACTTATTTATACTTATAAAATAAATTGATATAAATATAAATAATATAATATACATATATATATATATATATATATATATATATATATATATTATTCTTATATTTAATTCGATATAACTATATAATGTTGATAAATAAGAAGTTAGTGCTAATCACGATCAACATTTTGATTTTCACGAATAACATTTTTATTGATTTAGGACATTTGAACGTACACAAAATAAAAATAGTATTGTATCTTTTATCGTTTGTCGCATATATTATACCATATCACAATTGATAAAACTTGTCATTTGTCTATAATATACGTTATGATGTTTTTGACACCAATGCAACTGTCAATAAATTTATAATTCCATTTTATAAGTTGATTATATTTTGCTTATTATTCCATGTAAAAAGGTGTATCAATGAATATAAAACTCTAATATCGTTTTACATAAAGTTTTCCAAAATATTTCTATTAATTTATAATTGTTTTCTTTTACTTTTGTTTGATTTACAATTAATTAATTTCATTTTTTATTATAGTTTAATTTTATTAAAATATACGATATAATACTTTATTTATGATTTTATATTTTTGACGTCAAAATATCTATATTTCTATTCGCTTTTTTTGAGAAGTTCAGAATTCACTTATTATATTACATTATGTTTTTATTGGAATTTTTATTTTTTTAAATAATTGGAATTGTGTTATGTGTAAAATAAAATAATAAAATGGCACGTAAGTTCTAAATCAATTTTCAAATTAAACAATAATACTGACATGATTATTATTGAAATATTTTTTTTATTGCTAAATCAATTTATTTTTACATATATCATGTAAACATAGTAGGTATAATATTATTTTAATTTTTAACCAGGAAATTATTTTTCTACGTTTAGATATAATATTTTATCATTACTTTTCATTACAAATTAAAAATGTTTTTGGAGTTTGATAAATAATTAAAAACTTTATAATATTTTGTTTTATAATACATTATGCTATTGGGGAAAAGTTACCAAATTATATGACGAAATGGTTGAAACCAACTAAAAGCGCTCGCCGTTTTCAGTTAAAATAGTAATATTATTATATTTTATCATTTGGTGAAATGAAAATATGATTTTTTATGGTATTTATTTTATGGCTAGAGGTATAACTATACAACCACCATTGTTTTATTTAAGAGAAGTAGGAAAAAAAATATGTTATTCAACATTCATATATTGTATATATATCAAAACTTACAAACTCCTATATTTTCTAAAAAATCTGCATTGCATTCACTACCTGGAAATGTCATTCAGCAGTGCTTCAAAAAAAAAAAAATCTTATAATCACCTAATAACTAATAACTGTATTTTATTCTCAAATAAAAATTCATATTTTAAATTAAAAACACATAGATATTTGTAAGTATCTTTATCATTGCATTTTTATAAAGATTCTTGCAAATCAGATGCAATGCAGATTTTTTAGAAAAAAAAAGAGTTTGTAAGTTTTGATTTTAATCTAGGCATTTATTTTTTTTTATATATATATATATATATATATATATAAATCCAAATCTATTTGTATATTTAAACTAAGGATCACATTTTCCAATTAAATTATAGTCGAAGTATTGAGTTAGATTATATTAAAATCAAAATTATTTTTATATAATTTCCATGAACATAATCAATTTTACTTTTCTATTACAAATGGCGAGATATTAATTTTATAATTTTATTATAATAGCTTCTTAAACATAAATATTAAATTATTTTCACTTTGTTTTTAAGGTATTAAATCCATGTTCAGAATAACATTTTATGTACCTTATCCATTTGATTTTTATTTTCATTTTAAAGGGATTATTTTAACAAACGCCCCATCAAAAAATATTTTGAATCCCATCCCGTTAATGCGTATATTTTCAGGGGCAATCAGTAATAAGAGTTGTAAAATATACACGGATTAATAGGTGAATAAATGTACAGGTATATAAGAAAGCTAAAGAAAAATTACTTGATAACAACCTCATTTATAATATATGGTCAATAGATATTTTTTCTCGTAAAGGATAAAATAAAAAATCTACCACTTATCCAGTAGTAATCTGCTCTTATTGGACAAAAAAGCAATCCAAGATTTTTCATTCACTTTTATTTATCACTGTATAAATTTTATGTGTTGTCGACATTTTTTGTGGTTTTTGTTTATACCTACATTCAGTGGCGCAACCAGATGAGGGATTTGGTGGTGGTGTTTCCCCTCCTCAAAATATGAAATTAATTATACTTTACCACGTTCTTCCCACCAAACATCTTCAAAAATTGATTTTTTTCAAACGCATAACGCCTCCCCCGAAAATAAATCCTGATTGCACCAATGCCTACAGTCAACAGATACTCACGGAAAAATTATTTTATCAAAAAAAAAAACATTACAATTATTTACGCAATTTTAAAACGGATTATTTTTTACTAAATGTTACGAAATATCATGATAGATATTATAACGTCGAATAAGTTTGACCTGCAAAGGTTTAGCGTGTAGAGTTTGAACTGAACATCCAGCAACACGCGGAAATCGATCGAACAGTAATAGCCTGAAGGGTGTATAGTAGTCACTCGACCTTATCTTCTGGGACCATGGTAGAAGCATAACGCTGTTCTATTGACTGAGTAAAACAAATATTTTAGGTCTGGAACGTTTAGGATAGTAAACATTCGATGTAACCGACGTAGTTATCCTGTCGGGAAAAACCGAATAACATTACGATTGTTATTATTAGTATTGTTTTTGTTGTAATTATCCTTATTATCATTATTATTATAATTGTTATTTTTAATATTACAATATAATCGAACGATTGCGTGTAATTACACTAATGACAAAAACAACGTTCCGTTACAGATGTCTTGACAATGATGCCAATGGCGGCAACATGAGACCCTTACCGCCGGGTCAAGATGACTACTGCAAAATCCGCAGAGAACGAAACCACCACCACCACCACCAACATCACCACCACAACGGCGGCGGTGGCGGCAATGGTGGCACACTGCGCCGGTCGTCGGCGTCTTCGGCCGCGTTGCTGGAACCGCCGTCGCCCGTCGAACGGTACCACGGCACCATCGAGGGACACTACCGCGTGCACGACCTGGCGCTGGATCGGTACGTGCCTCCGCCGTCACCCGAACGGTACTCCTCGGCCGCCGGCCGCTCGTACCACCAGCACCATCACAATCACCACCAACAGCAGCCGGACGACCGGTACTCGTCGTCGTCGTCGTCATCGTGTCACGGCTCGACCGTCGGTGGTGGTGGTGGTGGCAGTTCTGGAAGCGGCGGCGGTGGACGCAATCACTATCTGCCGGTGTCGCAGAGCACGTCTGAAAGCTTCATGTCACCGCCGTCGCCGGTGGCCGAACGGTTCGACTATGCCGCGCGTCATCACGACAGTTACGCCACCGCCGCCAAACGAAACGAATCCGTTTATTCGAGGTTAGCACGTTCACTGTTATTATTTTTAGGTCAGCCTAGGGACGTGACAGCGGTCGGTTGTTCTCGTCGGTCCGCGCCAGGTCGGGGCGAGCGACGACTAAAAAAAATAGCTAAGATTTTCCTAGACTTCTCGAACACAACGCAACTGTTAATTTTTTTATTTTCAAACACATTATTATGGATACAGGACGTTTTTGTTATTTAGTTATACGCGTAATGTTACTGGGTGTGGGTGTCACTGGTGGATTTATTAGTTTTAAAAATACCGTAAGAATTGCATTATTTCGCGATTATCTAAAAGAATAAACTGTCGCCAATCACGATCGCACATTTCATTAAAAATATGAAAACGGTGCAGGAACACGTAATCCTACGTGCAATTTGATAATGAAACCCGTGGCCCGTGTTCACACCTCGCCTTTATCATTCTTCCAGATACCATTTACCGGCGGAGAGGTTTGTGCCCGTTGTTTCTCCTGACGATGGTTACGACGGCCACTACGACCGGTGCGACGACGCGTACAGTTCCAGGAAGGAAGCGGCCGCCCTCTATTCCAGGGCTTCGGCTATCGTGGACGCAATGCCTTCCTCGGCGGCCGCACTGTCCAGGGCGTACGCGACAGCCACCATGAGACCGTCGAACCGCTGCTGTACGGGCCCGTTGTACAGCGGCGGTGACGGCAGCGGTTGCGGTTACCAGTACGGCACCGTCGGCCGATCGCGGTCGCCCAGGGACCTTTCGCCGTCCGGACTGGTCCGACAGCAAGCCGCCCACTTGTCTTCCACAGGGTCGTCCGCAAAATGTCCGCCAAACGGCAACAACAACAACAGCAGCAGCAGCACCACCACCACCACCACAACCACCACCACCATTACCACCAACAATAACAACAACAACAACATGTGTCTGCTCCAGTACGACTCGCACACGGCCAACACACTGCCCCGGTGCGGTAGCGCCAATCTCATTTGTGCCGCCCAAAGCCATTACGGCATCGGGCACGACGAACAGACTGCCACGGGTTACGGCGGCGGTGGACACGCGGCACCGCGCCGCATCTCGTCCTCGTGCATCAGGGAGAGCACGGCGTTGGTGTGCTGTTCCACGGCCGCTTTTTCCGGCCATGCCGTGTTGGCCGGAACCAAAAGTTCGTCTGCAACTACGTCAGCGATGGCGGTGGCGGCGGCGGCGGCGGCGACGACGGCGACCATATCGTCATCGACCGCGTCAGCCGCCGCTGCCGCAGCAGCCACGTCATCCACCAACGCCCATGCTTCCGGAAACGGTTATACCTCCGGCCAAAACGCACACTGTCCTCAAACTCAACCCAACAGCGCTTCTTGGTAAGTCTTCCTTTACTGAATATGAAACGTTTTCATATGCATGTCCAGCAGCGATCGATGTTTGGAAGTGAAAGTAATAATAAATTAATTTCACCACAAATTTAACGCAAAGTTACTCATATCTGAGATCGTTTTAGTAGATTATATTTGATTTTGTTGGGAGGGAAGAAATATTTCGTTTAAGAGTCTAATAATCTAAGCCATATCTAGTTTTACAAATGAAAATAATATTATACTCTTTTTATATTTATATTTTTCCAAATGGTAATCTTCAAAGAAATATTTCGTTAAAGAGTCTAACAATCTAAGCCATTTACAAATGAAAATAATATTATACTCTTTTATATTTATATTTTTCCAAATGGTAATCTTTGTACTCGAGTATTTAATCCTCAAATGGATGAAAATAGTTACCGTATGAACATGAATCTAATAAGAGTAACAGAAAAACAATCTATTAATAATAATCTATTCAGCATATGTTTAGAGAAGCGTAATTTCTCAACTTATTTAAGATTATCCTTTTCTTCGTACTTTTCTTTTAATAAAATTATAACAGTTATTAGTACTATTTATAAGTACTATTTAGTATTATTTTTCATTGTTCTATTTATAAGAAACTAACCATTCTCATAGTTTAATATCGTATAAAAAATTATGCTTATATACATAAATATGTAAAGTACTAAATTATCATGACAAAAAAAAAAATAAAAAAAAAAAGCATAATCTCAAGAGTTTTATTTTAAATTATATTAGTTAAAATGTTAAATTCATAAACTTAAAGTTATCCATTATTTTTACAATATAAATAAATAAGTTAGAAAAATACATTGAATAATACTTTATAGAAATTAAAAATAATAAAAGACATATTATTATTATGTATAGCAGTAATATACACTGTCCATATTTATATTTATATACTCTAATATAGTTTACATTACTTTTTCATTCTAATTCTGTATGTAAGTATATATCTCATAATAAACTTCAAATGTTTTGATGTTTTTCAAAACAAAATAATTAACGGCCATTACAACAAGTTTACTAGTTCTGAGACAATTTACAATTAGAGAGTCTGTATTTATTTCCAAGTATTATTTAAGTTTTGTTATTTTGGTTTACTTAAATTTTTTTAAAATATTTATCATAGTAACTATAAACATAAATTTTAAAACCTCCTAAATTCAATAAACAAATTATCATTTTGCTACCATATTATAATTTATCTTCCATATATACTTTTGTATGTCAACAAATCTAAATTGATCATAATTTATAGTTTCTACACAAATTACTAGTATTATTTTAATTAAACTTATAACACTGCAAATTGTGATACAGAAAAGAAAAAAACAATTTTTGTATTGGTATCACATTAGGTTTTTTTAATTTAATTAACTTTTTTTTACATCCAATGGAAGAACAAAAAAAATAATTGACACTTAAGTTTTCTATTCCTTTGGATATTAATGTATTTTTATAAGAAAAATTTAGTATTTTGAAATTAATTTCGGATGTTTCAATTTTTTTTCACGCTGCAATTTAATAAATTCAATTCAATTTTTCCGATTTTATTCCGAAAATTATTAATATAGCTATTAGTATGCTCTTATAAAAAACCGTAAAATTTGCCCATAAATGTATACTAAAATAATTAAATATGGGCCAACTAAATAATTTTCTCAAAGTATTTAAAGCGCATGTGCGTGCGCACTCTGTACATGATATAGTTTTTATGTAAATATTTAAAGGATGTTCGAGTAAACAACAGCTATATCACTGTAGAGAGGTCAGGCTTGTTTCGTTATTCCCATATGCATGAAAATTAAATTTACAGCCAGCTTAATGCAATACCGTTAATACTAGTTATTGCAGTGTTTGTCTAAGTGCATTTCTAAAACATGTACAGGGTATATCTGTAAGGTAGATTGTCCACATTGTCATCTCGAGAAAATTTATATTTGACCACAATGATAAAATTATCTACAGCCTGTCCGGTTTACCTGCGTTTCGACTAATTAAATTAAATTATATATATATATAATTGAACGTATACGTAAATAGTATTTGCATTATACAGTATGATTTTTTTTATGTATTACAATCATTTAACTCGTACTCATTATATTTTGTATTTTTGTGTAATTTGAAATAGATAGAAGTATAAATATTTTGTTGAATTAAATTAATACTTTATACATAAAATTGATTTTTTCCAATTTTTCTATTGTAATAATTTTTAAAATTGCACTTTGTTGAAAAGTAATTATAAATCTTAAATATTTTTACATTCTTAAGTAGAATATTATGCAGAAAATAACTAGTTTGTTTCGCCAGTTAATTTTTCGTAAATGTTTAAAAAGGTTGGGATTTAGATGATTGGATCGCGAGTTTTGCACTAATACTTTTTTTTGTTTCCTTGGAAATTAATCTGAATTTATAACTTTAAACATTAATTAAATATTTTATAATAATACAATATTATGTACTGTATATATAAATTATGAATTATGATAAAAAACAATTGTCATTAAATTTAAAATTAAATGTATTGTTACTGACATAAATATTGTGATGTAATCACTATAAATCATGTGGGAAAGTCATTTTTTACAAATATTTAAACTGATAGGGTAAATTACTACAACCAATTAAATTCACTCTGTATATATATAATACAATAGTATACATGCGAGTGAACTCAATTTTGGACATTATATAAGCGTACAGTAAATTACTGTCAGTAATGCTTTACCATCCATTGAGATTTTATACTATTTCAAAATATCGGCATGTAAATCACGTATCACATTAGTTATTATATATATTCACTACCGCACCTAAAGCAGTCGGCTTGTACGTAGATTCCGCATTTGTTCACCGCCACACTCTACGACAAAGACGTAAGTTAACGCATTCAAAGACACGTACCAATCTTGATCATTAGTTCTTTTTTTGAAAGATTCTGTTCCATTAATTATTCCATATACACATTTATAGCCAGTAATAGAAAATAAAATAAAAAATAAAAATAAATTAAATTTATCGAATAAATATTTAGTCATTATTACAAGAATTAAAAATATTGATATAACAACACATTGTATAGTATTTTTATGATTTCTATTCTTATCAGTTAAAGGGCGCTACCAAGTTTTTATTTTATATTTTACTTCGTGAGTCATGAGTAAAAATAACAATTTAAGATGTGTACCTATATACAGTACCGGAATAAAATTTAAAATTTCATGTGGCCGAGCATTTATTAATTTATTATCCAATTGAATTGCATGTTGAGTAAAACTATCCAACTCTAAAATTAATCAATTTTTTGTCAATATCTTTTTCATCATTTATACAAAATTCCATAAAATGATTATTTAATTGAATTGTTGGCATATTAAATAAAAAATTTCCATCTAAAAAAGAAAAATATTTGCAACTTCATCAATGGAGTTAAATCTTTCTTTTAAACCGTTCAAGATTCTATCACAGACGTTATTCATTTAAATTTTAAATTTATTTTCTTCGGATAATGTTGATGATTCGTCCTCCACTAATTCACTAGGAAATTTTTCTTTTTTCTAGATCGAATCGATGGGAATATCGTTTCTATTGATAACTCAAATTATTTTTGTTTTGATTCATCAATTGCTTCTTCAATACCTTCTTCCCTAAATTTCTCAATAAAATTATAAGACTTTTTGAGTGTTGAGTCGTTATATCTATTGTAATGTTATGTTTTTGTAAAATCACCCTATCAATTGCTTAATATTTTATTTCATATTGTTAACATATGTGTATAAAATTAAAATTTGTTATCCCTTTCAATAAACCATTTAATTCAACACTTGCTTCTTCATATAAATTACTGTTTTAGAGTAACTTACAAACATGAATAACTTGGGCTAATTGCAAATATAATAATTTAACAGCACGTTGCTTTGCAGACCATCTGGTCGTTCTGTAACGTTTCAATGAAAATTTAAAATGTTCTTTAAGAATATCCTATCTCTGAGTAAAACTAGAGAAAAAAATGAACAATTTTTTAACTATACCCAAGAATTTTTCTAATTCTGGTGAACATTTAACGGCATAGAAGCCTACTAAGTTTAGACTGGGCCGTACAAGGAATAAACCTAGCCAAAGAGTTTATAGAACTGATCCTAGCTTGAACATATTTCCATTTACATGTTATATGTAACATGTTATTTACTGATATTTTACTAAATCATATGTCATTCACTTCAACTGTACTTTCAAAAGGGTTAATCCCGTTTATTTTACAAATGAATAAATAAATAAATTAATTTCCCGTCCATAATACTTCCATTGTTATATGATTTACCGTGAAAATAGGATAAATCAATACTAAGATTCGACAAGCTTCTCACTATTGTTATTATTAAATATATACCTACACAAATTTAAAATTTTATCATACCCAAGACTCCTGTCGCTCCGTGCACACGTCTATAAAATGCATACAAGATTGAACATGAGTATCTACACAATAACTATTTAGTGGTATTATTGATAGAAGAATATTATGATTAAATACTTTGGTGCTATTGATTAGGTTAGACACTAGAAAGTGGTATAAGTATCATATTATAATCATGCAAAATTACAAATGTATTATATTTTTTAATAATTTAAGGAAAACTTGATTAAGTTCAAATTTTAATATTAATCATTTTAATGTGGGAAATTATCATTCAGCTGCTACACTAATGTTACTTACTATAGCATATAAAAAAAGTAAAACATAAAGCTGTCTGGTGAATTACTGGTACCGGGTGTTAGCCCTTTTTTGTACTGGAAGTATTATTTATTTAAATTTAAAAGTGATGATGAACTATCGCATTCACATAGTTCATGAGAGAAAGTCCGTGGAGTTTATAATAGTTTGAAATTTTTTTCAGTTCTTTCTATTGAAACTTTGAGCCAAATAAGGAAATTTCTTCTCTAAGATACCATCTGTATTCAATTAT